AAAATTATGCTTTTTGTGTTAAAAACAAGTTTCAATATAATGGACTAAAATAATCACTCACTTGTATTTATCTTTTCTACTTTTGCTTCTTTATTTCTAGGGTACCAGGATTACAAAGGATCATGACTATGTCACCTTACTGGCACTCAGTTTTTTATTATGATATATAACAAAACTGTAATATTGGGATTACTATAAAGGTACTTACATATTCTATAGGATGAACTAGAACCATCATATAAGGCAGGGAAGTCCAGGAAGTCTTTATCACATTAGTTCTGTTTAGAAAGATGTGGGGAAATTGAACAGGTGAAGCATATGAGGAGAGGCAAAGGCATTCCATGAGTTTCATAGAGCAGAAAAGTCCAAGAAAGCAAAACATATTATGTTTGAATAGTTGTAAATATTTCATGGATTAGGACACACTAGTTGAGTTGAAGGTAATAGTAAAGAGCAAGACTAGAGAGAAAATAAAGGGCAAATTCTTTAAGCGCTATGTAAAATATGCAAAAGGGTTTAAACTACTTTCTGAAACAAAAACCTGTGTTTATGTGTATCTATGTATGGAGGGGTATGTTATGGGACAAGGAGAGTTGGGAAGGAGGATAGTACATCCACCTTGCAGAATGGCTCCTGATACAGTGTGGAAATTGGCATTAGTGAGTGCAGGACAAAGAGCAGTAATACAGAAAGTCTAGTTCAGAACTCATGTGGAATTGGTGAGAAGATACAATGATATTTGTACAAAGAAGGAATAATTCCTGAGAGAATTAACCAACCATGAATTATAAAAACATAAAAAAGGAAACAAAAAAACTTCACCTAAATTTAAGTTTATATTTCCTGATGCAGTGTTTATTTGGAAAGGTGATAAGCAATCCAGGAGGAGCATCCGATCCCTGTTAAGTAGCCAAAAAATAGACAGTGCCTCAACTGGGGACTATGAAGACATAGAAGTACAAAAGATAAATTTTACCTGCTTCACAATTTGGCCTCATGATGGTTCCAAATATATTATTAAAGAAGGAAAATAGGATAAAGAATATCTCCAACAGAAGTCATGATTTCAAATTCATATAAGTTGATAACAGATGTTCTAGTCATCTATCACTGCATTAACACTTCCCTGGAAATAAAATTTTAGTAGATCAAAATAATAATAATCACTGATTTTTGCATATACATTTATAATTTGGCTCAGGCTTAGTCAAGATGACTCATGTAATCCTCAATATTTGGGACTTGAGAAGGGATAACTCAAATCTTTAAGTGCTAGAACAACTGAAGCTGGTTAGGCCATCCCCTGTCTTTCAACAGAAAATTTCTGCATTGCTCTGTGTGGTTTCTTCAATAGTGAGATTTCAGGATAGTTTAATTTCTCACAAGACATCTCAATGATCTAAGAATCAATATTCGAAGAAATCTAGTAGAAGCCACAAGGTTTTTCTGAGCTAGCCTCTGGCACTGAACAACATCACTTCTGGAGTCTTCTATTATTCTAACAAGTAATTACAGACAGGACTAAATGCACAAGCATGGAAATTACACTCCACACCTCAAAATAAGTTTAGAGCATATTTTTTGCTACGTTTAATTTACACAAAAAACAGCATTTCCCTAGAGAAAGCTACTTTGTGTTAATATTTTTAATTCTTTACCCGGAAAGAGAATATTTTTTCTGTTTTCAACTTTGGAAGATAATAAAAGCTTCATAGCATAACTATAAATCATTTATTCATTGTAAGCTATGGACCAGTAAACGACTGAGGCTGATTTTACTGAGGGAATAACAAGCTTTCCTTATTGACTATGACCAGCTCCTGTCCACTGTGAACAAAGTGCCTGGCTACTAATAATTGCAATAGGAAAGCTATCATTTATATTACAAGAAATCTCAACATTCTATTAGTCACTTCAGTCTGATGGATGGCAATAACTAAAGTGACAGAGGAAACATGCAAAAAGTTTAAACACCGGGGAGATTGAAGGTTAAGAGTAGTGTTTATCATGAACTTGGCCCTGACAGAAGAATGAGGAGCTAAAAGCACACAAGGTCCCTGTGTTGAACAAATCTGTGCTCATAAGAGAAAGTCAGGATGCCAAGTAATTACCTTCAGTCAGAGCTGTTCTTCAGGCACAGAATGCAGTTAGTCAGGACTATCCGATTTTAAAGAGTCCTGCAGAAGCCAAGTTCCAGGGAGCACATAAAGTATTCAGGAGTCTTCGGCCAAAAAGTTGGTGGGTTTTGTACTGTTTTGCAAATTCAATGTCTTTGCCATGCTTGGGTCAGAGCTGAACACTTCCTGCATTAGACAGGAAGGAATTTTCCCAATAGTAAGCAGTACTTGATGTTGGAATGCTGTAGGAGTAGGCTTTAAACTGGAATAAAAGTCATTTGTCAATTGTCATTGTGTTTGGAAACTGGAATGAGAGACACATGATTTTGTTCTAGAGTTTGATTACCATACACAATAGAGATATATAAAAGATTCAACATTAATTCAAAAATTTGGTTTATAGAAATGGAAGCATATATAGATTTTGCTAGTTTGATTTTAAATCTTTCACTTTTTTTTACACAAAGTAGACACATTCTAAAACTTTTTGAAGAAAAGAGCAATTTTTCTAACCTGATGTGAGTGAATTTTGAAGACATCAGAAACTGTATTCCAAAGATGTTAATGTTTAATATTTTCAATAAATACAATAGGCTGTTACCAGTAAGAATGTTATAGTAAGAAATAATAATTTTTTTATTTCCATGGCAAATTTATCAAGGTTATACAGGAAAATATTTTAGAAATAAAAAATTGATTTTGGATGTTAAAATGCTTACTTTAAATATTCTGAAATATTGAAGGTAAGAGTTAAACAATAGTTTCAGCTATTTAAATAGGTTAAAGTATTTAAATAGGTACAATGTTTAACTGCCCTAAGGTTGTATCTAAGTAGTTCACTAAATCAACATTTTATAGTCCTTGTTTATTCTTCCCCTTTTTCTTAAAGATTAAGCAAACAACATGCATCCGGCCTAAGCTTAATGTCAACATAAAAATGAGCAGGAAGAATGTGTCCAAAAGGAAACGGAAGTGTTCAGAAGTAAGAGAGATAACAGTATGCAAGAAGGGAAGGATATCACAAAAGGAAGAATAAAATTCAAAGTGGAAACATCTCAGAAAACTTACCCTTACCTCACACTTAAGTGTAGATACGTTAGCTATTCATTAACTTCTAGTGAACCTGATAGATGACAATGGTTTTGTTGTGAAATCAATTTTTTAATCTCTAGGTATAGTTCCAACTATAATGAAAAGCCCAAACTGAATTATTTACCTAGACATCATAAATTAATGTAACTTCATCATTTTGAGTTATTGCACATGGACAATTTAATGGGAAGCAAATGTATTTATAGAAAAGAACATTGTAACCAGGATAAACCTAAATGGCTTCAGAGGAACAAATCTAACTTTCTGTAGCTCATAGAATGAGTATGTGTAATTTCTTTTGAATCATAAAAGTTGATCCCAAAATTCTGGTTGATATATACACAATTATGTTCAATTAGTATTCTTCTTTATGATGAATTTCCTCAAAGGTTGTGATACAGGAAATAATACAGGGTATGAAATATGAAATATCCCCTAACCTGTTAGATGTTTGATATGCCAAGCTCATGTTCTCTAAAAATCAAAGAATAAATTCTACAAACAATGAAGGTTAAGAGTAGGAAGATACTTATTGACAGAATAGCTCCTGAGAGGCAAGAAGGGACCCAAATGGGTAGCCAGGGACCCCAAACTACAGAGAAGTTTCATGAAGTGAAAATCCTGTGGGTACAATGTGGGCCACAGCCACGATTAACCAATAAGTTTACAAATATAGTCACTTAGATTAAGAGTGGTCCAATTGGGAAACAAGTCATGTAACACATATGGATGGAAATAACAAAGGCTTCTAGGAAATCAGAGGTCTCTGGTAAAACCCACTGGGTTAGCTGGTGTCTACCTAGACTTCATTAGGCTCAGTGTTTGTCTTTTGAGGAAATATGCAGGTCTGGTCTGGTCATCTTGTCTTTATCTTGAGGCCCAGTCTCTAGAAGATTTGTCTCCAGCCCCAGTTCTGATGTTTCACCTTTGTCCTGACTCTCCCAAGGACCTCACCCTATCTGGCTGCCTATAATATTTCTACCTCACTTGTCTGTCTGTAATGGTTGTTTTCTGTTGCAATAGCAATGAAAATGAGATGTACAATTGGAGACAATTTCTGTTCACCAATTGGTCAAATATCTTATTAGTAGAAATAAAGTCCAGAAAACATCTAGGATACAGTTTTCCTAACCCATGGAACATTTTAATCATCAAGAAGAAAGAAAGCCTGTGTGCTAGCTAAAGAGCTAGGAACACAAAGCTAGGAACTGAGCCCTAGCAAGATATGAATCCATGAATGACCATCTGCCTAACACAGAGCAGTTGCTGATCACTATTGATTGTACTGGATGAAATCTTGATGATGAATTCAATTCATAAAAGCATCACCATCTCCTTAAGTTCTTAGTCCATGAAAACATTTGCTTTTGAAGAAAAATAAGTGAATTAGTGTTTGTAGAACAGTAATCTTGCTCTATGAGGCACTAGCATTTGGGCACAGAAAATAGATTGAAATGGTACAGACATTTGAAAGACCTGCTCTGAGACTTAAGATGCCATTTTTAAGCTTCATGATTGGCTTGAAAATATATATAGAAATGGCCAATTGATAACGTTAGTAAACTTTATTGGAATCTATCCTGTTCATTATGGAAATTTCAACTGAATCATGAATATAACCAGTAGATCGTGTTTAAGATATTCTGTGTAATGGGGTTTTGCTTCCTGGATACTATGAGGAAAGAAGAGAAGGTGTGGGGATTGTACATATTTTCTCTTTCCATGGATCCTCCAAAGCTTTGGCTTTAAAAAAATCTGCCTATTCAACTTCCTTTTATTTCTGGCAACAATTTGTTCTTTTACTAATTATCCCCAGCTGTATCAGATTCTGTACTTTTTGTTTTTAACTTTTCTCCACATGCTCCTATATGTGTATAACTTTTGTATGGAATATTAGGTCTTAATGTGAGAAATCTTTTGGAAAGGGTAAGTAAAATGGAATTATCTAGAAAGAAAATGAAAAACTATTATTTAAAAGTCATCCCATTGCCATTTTCTTCAATAAAAACAGAGCCTACTCTATTGGGTATTATGCATTTGGGTACCATTTCAGTTTTTTAAAATCTATTTTTTCCTTCCTTTTTGTTTTATTTCACAGAATGGCATTGTACCAAACTATAATTTTAAAGGCTCCAATTGTCCCCCTTTGGAAGATTTTGCCTATAGTATTTGAGGATATTTAGAAATTGCTTCATGTTGCTCAGCAAAGAATGGTCCTTAAATAGGAATAAATAGGGCTTTGGGCATATTATTTTGCACTGCTTATTTGGTAGTAATTATAAAAACACACAAAAAATGTACACAGAAATAATTAAATTAAACCTAGAAAAGAATCTGCTTGGAAAAGCAGGTATTTTTATTATAGATCAGGAAGTACAGAGTAATCCTGAGGAGCTTTAACATGTTATAGCTTCTCATGCTACACTTGCTCTGTTTGACATTATTTTTCTCACTTTTGCAATGACTTCATCATTTATATTTAAGAAAAAAAATTGAGAAAAATCTAGCAGTAATCTCTTAATCTACAGTTGGTGCATTTCCTATTAAGTTCAAAAGATTGAAAGTGACAGTTTGGGTAAATCTTAACATAAATTTCCATAAGCTGTAATATAAATCTTTCAAAATGGCAAAAGCACATTTACTTTTCAATCAGAAAAGCTTGCTAATTTAAATTATACAGTCCACACAACATGACCTTCCCCAAGATGCTTGACATGAACAATAATAATAAAATTCACTCACATTTAATATTTTGCAATCTTAGATTAAAATTGTAGCTTTGCACATAGTTACATATGGTCTTTATAAAGGTATGTTTATCAATGTAGAAGAATAGGCATATTTAACAAGATTTTAGGTTGCTTTTAAGTTGTAAATATTTAGACATATGGTATGGGGGGCTTTCATTTGAATTGTTCTAAACCCTACAAATATTAGAGGCATGAGTGTCTAAATAATTTATTATCTTACTTACTAGTCAGAGAGGTTCATTCCTGTAAAGTTTTGTAAGCATGTACATTTCTGGAAAGGACTTGAGAAAGTCATTTGATTCATGCCACTGTCACTGTCAGTTTAAGAAGGCATCAGACTTTTTGTCTTATTTCAAAGCAACTTGCTTCCTAGCCTATGGGATAATTAAAAGGATTAGTCATGTTTTATGAATTCCGTATATAATGGATTAAATGCTAATCAAACATAGTAAATCCTTTTACTCTCCTTGAGAATGTCTCCCCAAGTTTGTAAGCTCACCTAAAACTCTGAAACTCAACAGAATATGTCAATGAACTACCTTTGATCTTGAACTTTAGTGCCAGGAGCAAGTGATTTTAGTTATGAAATTATGTGATCTCATGTTTCTGTAAAGCACCACTCTTCTCCATTCATTCATCACCTTTACCCCTGGTTCTTATTCCTACTCTGCTCATGTATTTTTTAATGTATATTCTTGTATGTGTTTTATTTTATGAAGTTTTGTTGTTTTATGTGCGTCTAACTTTATTTATTTATTTCCATTAAGTTTATTGATACATTTTAGATATAAAATACAGCTACATTCATCATTGGGATCTTGTAACTTTACATGAGGTATCTTGGTTCTTATTCTTTTCCCCTTCCCCTGCTCTACCTTCACCCCCTAAACTCTTCCTAATTTGCAAGGACTTTGTTTCCATTTTTTCCTTTTCTCATATTTTTTCTTTTCCCTTCTTTCCTTTCCCCTACCCCTCTCACTTCCCCTACTTCTTTAGACCTTTTCTTCCTATTACACAATATTAATTATATATTTTAAAAATAGCAATATGAAGATCTAGAAGACATTACCACAGATTTTACAGAATTTAAAAGGACATAGAAAGCATATTACAAAACTACTTTTTGAAATAAATTTGACAACTTCTAAGAAGTTCTTTGGAAGACAAATTAATGAAACTGACTCTGGAGGAAATGTAAAATTTGAATAGCACCTATTAAAGAAAGTGTATTCCTAGCTTGAAAAACTACCCATATGACAATAACAGGCTCATATACATTTTAACTGATGAATTATATCAAACATTTAAAGCAGAAAAAAGAAGGAACAATTC